CTAAGGCCATCTGCAAACTTAAGTGTTTGGGAGGGGCAGTAAAAATCAAAGAAGGGTCAGCAAAACATACGTCGTTTCATTACTAATCAGAAGCAGCCGGGTTTTATATTCCTTTATTGTTTAATGGGCCTTAAGTTTTAATTTACCATGAGCCAAGCATGGTGCCACACACCTTGAATCCTAGCACTCAGGAGGCTGAAGCTGGAACAGAGAGGCCAGCAAGTTCAAATCTACCTTGGCTGCCATCAAAGAGACAGACTACCTCCTAGATTTTTTGGTGTGTGAATTGCTGAGGGTTGAACCGAGGACCCCTTGCAAGCTAGGCAGACACTCTATCGTTATCAGGGCTACATCTCTAGCCTCTCAAAACCTTTAAATTTCCAAGTAGCATTTCACTGAGTCTGTTTGTTCCTTTTTCATGTTTGCAATGAAGACAAAGGTGGGGGGGGGTGCTAGAGTCCAGCATGAAATAAGAACCAACCAAAGTGTAGTAATTTCATTGGTCAATGCGGTCAGCCCCTGGAGATGGAAATGAAAAGGCCGTTGAAGAGCTGCTTAATGTTCTGTGGTCACACATTAAGGAGCAAGTACTTCCTTCTTCCTCCATGACTGTCAACTTTACTATAATGCCAGGGACTGTAAGCTTCCTTTGGGGTTCTTTTGGGCAGAAAAGGAAGCAGGAATGAGGCTGGATTGTGAAGTCTAGCCAATGTTGCGCTACGGAGAAAGCAGGGTATGGTTGGCACGTACCAAGTCGAGGCAGGAGAACCAGGAGTTCAGGGTCATTCTCAGATACATAGTGAGTTCAAGACCTGCCTGAGCTACCAGAGACCCTGCCTCAAAGGCGGTAAAAGACAGGATGTGGTGGAGCATGCCATTAGTCAGAGCAGAGGCAGGTGGATCTCCCTGAGCTCAGTCCGCTTTGTAATGAGTTCCCGGCCAGTCACTGAGTTGAGGACTTGAACTTTGGTGGATTGCTTATCCCAGAGGAAGCTTAGAATCTGCAGGTAGTGCGTCTGAATGAGGAGCAGGACTGACTGGCATCTGCAGTCTATCAATGGGGCCACATAGTGCCTCAGAGTATAAAAAAAGGCAATAAAAAGTAATGAAAATGAACCCAGTGTGCTGGGCGCTATGGGCAGTTCTGGATTGCCAGGGGCAGGGTATGACTTTTCTAATCTCTGGGGAAGGAGGCGACAATCTTTCAAGTTCTTCCTTGAAAATCTCTAATTACTGACCTTTTCCTAGTAATCACTAACAGATTTTCAATTAGAAAAGATAAATAATGACACACAACAGTAATTGCAGACTAGCTTGACAGTTTGTGTAGGAAAAGGATTAGTAGCTTTGAAGTCAAATAAAGGCTCCTTTGAATCAGGATCTCAGGTAATTCAGGATGACCCCAAATTCGTTTTTGTTTTTCGAAACAGGGTCTCTCTACATAGTCCTGGCTGTCCTGGACCTTGCTGTGTAGACCAGGCTGGCCTTGAACTCACAGAGGTCCTCCTGCTACTGCCTCCCAAGTGCAGGGATCAAAGGTGTGCACTGCCACAGCTGGCTAGCTCTAAACTCTTGGTTCCCCTGCCCCTATTTCCAAATGCTGGGGTTGTGGTCATCGGCTACCATGCTAGACCAACTTTTAAACCCTTCATTTCAAAGGATCTACTTCTGCTCCCTTCTGCCTGAGTGTCTCCCTGAGATATTTTCTTCCTATATTATATTATATTATATTATATTATTGATAAGTGAAAGGACTCCTAAGAGAATCACCATATCTCCTGTTCCCTGGCACTCACATCAGTGATACTCAGCACCTGACTCGAGCATGGCACTGTTTAGCCTTTTAAAGCTCAGTAACTTTAGAGTTGGCATGGATTTTTATTTGTTCCTTTGTCCTTTCTTCTTTTGAGGCCAGTGTCTCAGGCAGACCAGGCCGGCCTCGAGTTGACTGAAATCATGGTCTTCCTTGCCTCTGCCTCTTACATGCAAAACCGATATTTCAAATTCTACTAGATTCAAGATAACAGTCATTTAAATTTTCCCATGGGTATTTTTTTCCAAAAGAAGTAATTAATGGATTTAAGAGTTGGGCATGGTATGCATACCTGTAATCCCATCGCTTGGGAGGGGGAGGCAGCAGGATTGTGGAGAGTTTGAGGTCAGCCTTGGCTACGTAGTGAATGCAGTGGATTCCAGCTTGGGCTGTGTATGGAGACCGCATCTCAAAAACAAACATACAGCTAAAGTCAGAAAGTCAGGAGAGGCTTTCCCACTAAGGCAGCCTCAAGGGAAAAGATCTTTAACAAACGTCTTTCGGAAATTCTCAACACACGCTGTCAGGGAGAACAGTGTAATCCGCTTCGGCAATGATCAAACCAGTGCCGTGCCCAGCACTAAATAACCAGCCTCGGGTTATTGAGAGCAAATTTGTCTTTGATTATCCTGGATGGAAATGTTTAGCAGATACCCCTAAGCCATAACGGCTAGCGGGGAGACTTCCCTTTTGCACACGCACACCAATCTTATTTCCTCTTTGCTCATCTGTCTCTGGAGTGTGGTTTCAGGTGCTTGTGTTCTAGAATGGGTCTGGCCACTGACACCCGCAGTGTGAACGGAGGGGATTAGAGACTTGGGAGTCTCCAGATTTGGGGGGAGGTAGTGGGAGGAGGCTTGGGAGCTCACAAAATCCCTTGGCTACACGACAAGTTCAAGGCTAGCTGGGGATACATGAGACCCTGTCTCAATAAATATATAAGGAAGGAAGGAAATAATATACCCATAACCCAGAGACTTGCGGCGGGGCAGTTTCCAAGTGAGAACATGCCCCAATTATTATTTTCAGGTACAATTTCTCTTTCTTCAGGTTTTATTTCTGTTGCTGGGATAAAATACCCTGATTAAAAAGTCATTTAGGCTGGGTGGTGGTGGTTCATGCCTTTAATCCCAGACAGAGGCAAGAATCTCTGTGAGTTCAAGGCCAGCCTGGTCTCCAGAGTGAGTTCCAGGACCGGCTCCAAAGCTACAGAGGAACCCTGTCTCGGAAAAACAAAAACAACAGCAACAACAAAAGCCACTTAGGGAAGAGAGGGGTCGTTTCAGCTCACACTTCCAGTCCATCACTGTGAGGGTGTCAAGGCAGCGCGAAGCTGAAGCGACTAGTCGTACCACATCGGCAATCCAGAACAAGAAGAACAAACGCATGGTAGCTTTCTCTTCTCTTACTTGACTTTCCTGGTTCCTAAGCCAGGGCATGGTGCTGCCTGCCATGGGCTGGGTCTTCCCACATCAAATAAGATCAAAATCAAGACAATCCCTCACAGGCACCCCCTTGGCCAGCCTCCCACCATGGCCAACCTGATCTGGCAATCTCTCACCGAGACCCTCTTCCCGTGTGAACATAGGTGGTGTGAAATTGACTATACTAACCATCACTGCTTCTAAAGTCTCTGAGGTGCTGTGAATAGCCTACTGAAGCTATTAACAGGGTCTTTTGTTTTGTTACCAGAGAGTTAACTGAAGGTTAGGATGAAAAGGAACCAAAGAGAGTGGGCTGAAGTTCCACCAGATACTAATACTCTGCACCGGGCGGGACATGTGCTGGGTCTGTGTACGAGTTGGTTCCTACGGTAGAGGATTCTCTGGCTCTGAGAGGCTCCGGAGGAGACTCAGTTCTATACTACTATCTCTACCGGGGCTCCTGAGCTCTTGCCTCTGAGGCCAGTCCTTAACAGGAAATGGTAAGGAATGGGCAGGAAATCCCGAACAAGGGAAGGGAAACTCCTCCCTCCCGTCAAGGCATGGCCAAAGAGTGGGAGCATGAAATGGAAAAGCAGGCAAGAATCTGAGCAGCCTAGGAAAAGCACCCCTGAAATGGAGAGTGGTGGACCCTTCAGAGCCAAGAGGGAGAAAGCTGCCTCAGAGCTGCAACGGCTCCCCACTCCCCCAGGCTCTCTCTCTCTCTCTCTCTCTCTCTCTCTCTCTCTCTCTCTCGCTCTCTCTCGCTCTCTCTCTCGCTAGTCCTTTATGTACAGGAGTATATGTGGCTTGTGTTTTTACATCCCATAACCCTCTGAAAGGGGAACCTGCCCTTGTTCCTCACTTTTGACTTGGAAGATATAAAAAATAATTTCAACATAAATAGAAAACAAAACAGCCACAAAACAGGAGAAAAGATGAAAACATAAATGGAATCAACCCCAGGGAAGCAGGTGAGGTAAAGGGACAGAGGAATGCTAAGGTTTTGTTTTGTTTTGTTTTGTTTGTTTGTTTTATCTTTTATCTTGATTAATTGTTTTGTTTTGTTTTGGAGACTGGATTTCTCTGTGTAACTGCCCTGGCCATCCTGAACTCTGTAGACCAGGCTGGCCTCGAACTCACAGAGATCCATTTGCCTCTGCCACCCAAGTGCTGGAATTAAAGGCGTGCGCCACCACTGCCTGGCTACCTTTTATTTTTAAACCCAAAGTCTTCACCTATTCGTGAGGTAGAGGGAAAGCCAAGGATCCCGTGAAAATACTGACTCCAAGAAGAAAATGTGTGTGAACCAGGACCACTCATCGCTGGTGGACGAGACCCCAGCGTGGAAAGTTGCCTGCTGGAGCTGGCTCCTTAAATTACGCTTCTTCTTCTCTTTGATGTGAGATGTGGGATGAGCTTGTCACACCCGAGCTCCCTGACCTGCCAGCCTCAGTCCTCGACTGTTTAGATCATTACCTGAAGAAAGGAAGGGGAAAGGGTGTTCTGAATGCTGATTCAGCTTTTTTTGATGGGAAAAACTTTTTGTTTAAAAAAAAAAAAGAATTAGCATACAAATGACAGACAGCATAACTCTTTGGGGAAAAAAAAAAAAACAACAAACCAAAACAAAAGCTTCGGGGAGAGTCTGGTGTTTCATCATGGGTATGAATAGTTGGTGGTTTTTTTTTTTTTTTTTTTTTTTACAGTTTTCTTTTTTCTTCTTCTTTCTGGGTGTTGATGTGGATCTCTTTCTATTTGTTCAGGAAACCGTGACGTGTGTTCTTGGGCAGGGTCTGAGGTTTTGGAACCTCTTTCTAAAAGGGACGGAGAGAGCACCCTGCAGCATTTGGTGATCGAGAGGCTGGCGTGTGGTGCTGAACTGGGCAGGATGCGGCATGTTCCCATGGGCAGCAGGCTTCTCCTGGTTCTCTCCTTCATCCTGGTTTGGGGATCTTTGGTTCAAGGTAAGACCCAGGATCCCTCCTCCCCCCATCCTCCGTCCTCTGCTGTGAAAACCTCAGCATCTGCTTGAGGGGTGGTCTCCATCTGCAGGTATGGAGTGCCCTGTTGTGGGGTTTGAAGAAGCTGAACTCCCTAGTGTGAGTTCACTTGAGTTTGCTCTAAAAAAATAAATCAATACATAAAAAAATAAATTAAACTCTAAGGCAAGAAACCTAGCCCAGTAGCTGAAAAATGCTCTTATTTTTAGGTGAAGATGTTGGTTTATTCATTTAAAGAACTCAAGAAAAATTACCCGAATGACTGATCTTGGAATGTTTTAGAGTATCACCTATCCCTGAGTTGTCTGCCTGAATTCCATCTTTGCTTCATGTTGCGGTAGGGTCTCATGTAATGTAAGATGGCCTTCAGCTTGCTATACAACTGAAGATGACCCCGAATTCCTGATACTTTTGCCTCCACCTCCCAAGTGCTCGGATAACAGGTGTGTGTGGCCATGCTGGGCTCCGAGTTAGAAAGCATCCTGACGGCACTGTTATTTTTAACAGTGGGCGAGGTTTGTTTCTTTGCTTCTTTAAATTGAGATACATTTAGCTACTCTCTTTTCTTCTTTAGTTTCATTCATCTCGAACATTCAGTTTGGGCTAGGCATTGCTAATCCTAACCCAAAGATATATTTTGAGGATAGCCCAAAGCGTGTTAGCGTCGGCACTCTTGTTCAGAAAATAGTCTGTTTGGTCACCCCTCCTTAAGTTTGGTTATCATGTAGGGTTGTTTAGTCCCACTGAGCCACCCTAAAACTCCTCTTGACTAAGAAGATGCAATGAAAAGTTTATAAGGGGAAAAAAATCTACAAATTCTTCTCCGTTGATATATACGGAAACTTTCTAAATGAGGGGAGCTTATAGTCTGGTAAACAGGCAGCACAGCGTTTATGACTGAAAACCAGAAAGTTCCCTCACTTGGTAAAGGAAATGTTGAGTCACAGCGGTGGCGTACACGGCCTCGGGTTGTTTCTTCGAAGTGACTCCTAGCTATCCTGTTCTTTCTGCCGACTGAAGTGAAGTCTCACAGGTACCCTCGGGAATCCCTCATATAGTGGAAGTTTAAAAGCTCATTTTGATCTGGGTTGTGGTAACGTTGGAGGGATACAGGAAGTGACCTTGCTGAAGCTTGTTTCTATTTATGCAGCTTGGGTGGTGCTGAGCCTTGAACCTAGGGCCTCACGCAATGGTAACTCCTCCACCACTGAGGTAGAGTCCTGGGTCTCTGTTTGACACAGAGAACAAGTTTACTCAGATCTTTTAGGGGAAAACCTTTGGCTTGATGCGATGAATTTCCCAGTAACCTCATGCTCTAGCAAGACACAATTTGTGACACACGGGAGACCAGTTGGCCATGGGTGAGTCTCTTACTAGAGACGTATATGTAAGCCTTTCGATTGCAGAAGTTCCCAGAAATGTCACAGTCCATCAGCGTCTGGTAAAGCTAAACGGAACACAAACCTTGCATATTTCATCATTAGCAAGAAATGGAGAAGGAACCGGGTAGGTGGCTTACGCAGCACTCCAGAGGCGAGGCCAGCCTAGTTCACCTAGTTCCGGAGGAGACAAAGCTTCACAGTGAGACCCTGTCTCAAAAATTAAAAGACCTGGAGAAGGTGTAGGTGTGGGCAGAGCTGTCACGTATGTTTCCAGCTTGTTGATTTAGCTCTCAGCTGGACAGGGAAGCAAATAAAGGAGAAAATGAATGAACCAAAACTCTAGGGTGTTTCCAAGGTGCTCTTGGCTCAATGCCTTACGCTCATATCTGAACAGGAACGGAAATGGGTGCTTGGCCATGAGTTAGTGACACACAGGGCTATAGAACAGCCGTGACGTCACTTGTCATACCTCTCTGCGGTGCCAGGTATGATTCAACAGCACTCACTCCCCCTCCGTCTTTTTTTTTTTTAAGTGGTACAGGGCCTGCAATCACTTAGCCCAGGCTGGCCTTGAACTCATTAGTAGCTGAGGATGGTCTTCAATTTCTGATTCTCCTTCCCAAGTGCTGGACTTACATACGTGAGCTACCATGCCCAGTTTGTGGAGTGCTGGGAACCAAACCCAGGCCCCTGTGGATGCTACACCAACTCTCTACCTGTGCAATGGCAGCCCAGCCTTCTCCTTATCTTTAAAAAGATATTTGAGGACCAGAGTGTCTGTAGCTTTCTGGTTTGAATGGCCAAACGCACCAGGCTTTTCACTTTTTTTTTTAATATTTATTTAGTATACAATATTCTGTCTTGTGTGTCTGCCTGAAGGCCAGAAGAGGGCATCAGATCTCATTTTAGATGGTTGTGAGCCACCATGTGATTGCTGGGAATTGAACTCAGGACCTTTGGAAGAGCAGGCAATGCTCTTAACTGCTGGGCCATCTCTCCAGCCCCGGCTTTTCACTTCTTGATCTTAGGTTTTTGTCTTATACTGGTTTTCTTAGATTGCCGAAACAAAACACCATACACTGTCAAGCTTAAACAACAGGAATTTATTTTCCTCACAGTCCCAGAGTCTTAAATCAAGTTCCCAGTGTTGGCAGTGTTGGCAGTGTTGGCTTCATTCTGACACCTTTCTCTTTAACTCATATATGGGTGCCCATGTCTTCACACAGACCCTGCCTCCACACACCCCATTATCCTCTTCTTTGAAGGATACCAGTCATATTGGGTGAGGGCCAACCTAATGATCTCATTTTAACTTCTTTTGCAGTGGCCATGTCCAAATATTGTCAGCATTGGAGGCACTTGTAGGTTAGGACTTCACATGAAATGAATCCTACATTAATAAATAACTCCTGTAACATTACTTATTTCTCCAAATTCAGTGAAAACCATGATGTAAAATACTGTGCCAAGTACATGGGAACTTGGTGATGGGTGTGGATGATAGGAACAGATGGTTGCTGGGCTAGAGATGTGGCTCAGTGGTTAAGAGCACCGGCTGTTCTTCCAAAGGTCCTGAGTTCAATTCCCAGCAGCCATAGGGTGGCTTGCAACCATCTGTAATGAGATCTGGTGCCCTCTTCTGACCTGCAGGTATATCTGCAGACAGAACACTGTATGCACAATAAATAAATAAGTCTTTAAAAAAAAAAGAACAGGCGGTTGTGGGGCAATGGTGGCACAAGCCTTTAGTCTCAGCACTCAGGAGGCAGAGGCAGGCATATCCCTGTGAAACTGAGGTCAGCCAGTCTAGCCCGGTTCATATCTAGTTGGTCTGCTGGTTCTAGATCAAGTTCCAGGACAGCTAATGCTACACAGAGAAGCTCTGTCTTGAAAAACAAACACACAAAGCAAAAAACCAGAACAACAACAAAAAACAGATGGGTAATCTATTTAATGTCGTTTCCAGGGCTTCATTAATGAAGCTGGTGACTCCTACCTTTGTTTTGTTTTGTTTTTAATGCCCATAAACACTCAGGAGGTGGAGGCAAGAGGATCAGGAGTTGAAAGGTCATCCTCAGCTAGTACTGAGCCCTGGGTCACACAAGACCCTGTCTTAAAACAGAATACTCACAGAGGGGCAAATGAAACCTGAGCAGGCGTGGCCAGGGGCTCGGGGTAGATCTCCGACACTCAAAGTAACAATATTCATGTCCACTTGTGGGCACAGCTGCTGGGAAAGTGATTTCACAATCACTGCCCAGTAATGACCGTCACGTCCACGTCAGGAGGAATTATGACAGCAGAAGAACGGAGTGGACCTGACAGCGGCTGCCTCCCTTGCTCCTTACGTCAGCCCCTTGACAAATATGTGTGAGTTTTGCCCAAGGTCTGTTACAGTGAGCTCACACATCGTTCAGTTTCAAGGTTAGAATTAAGCTTCTAGACAACTCGAGGATCAGAGATGTTCTTTAATTTTTTTTTAGTATTTTATTTATGCACAAGAGGGATTTTCCTGCATATTTGTCTGTGCATCAGGTGCATGCCAGGTGCCCAGGAAAGCCAGAAAAGGGTGTCAGGGCCCCCAAGAAATGGGCAGTTATGAGCCACTGTGTAGGTGCTGGGAACTGATCAGCCAGTGCTCCAAGATCAGACTTCGGAGTCTCTCCCTCCCATTCTTAATTTAAAACAAAACCTTTCCTTTCACTGAAGCCTCTGCTGTTTCCTGAAGAGGGGAGGGCAAACTGAAAGTAAACTTGGAGCCTTTTATAGCCTGTCAAATGGTGCCAGAGAGAGGGAAGCTTGGTCTTCTTGAGTAGTTGATAGAACGACAGGAAGTAACTCCAGTGCAGATAATAGCAGTTGCCTAAATGCTACCATTTTGTTTTGTTTTGTTTTTGAGACAAGCTTTCTATGTAACATCCTCGCTGTCCTGGAACTAGTTCTGTAGACCAGGCTGGCCTCGAACTCACAGAGATTTGCCTGCCTCTGCCTCCTGAGTGCTGGGATTAAAGGTGTGAACTTGACTACCATTTTTTATTTTTTGATGAATCAGAATAGTCACTTTTTAAGACAGTTTTTGACCTCCCTTTTGGACAGTTTCTGCTTAAGTTCTTCTATTGCATCTGTGGCAATTTTCCATGTAGAATAAGAAATTACAGCCTGGCAGTGGTGGTGTACACCTTTAATCTCAGCACTCGGGAGCCAGAGGCAGGTGGATCTCTGTGAGTTTGGGCCAACCTGGTCTACAGAGCAAGTTCCAGGACAGCTATGGCTACAGAGAGAACCCTGTCTCAAAAAACAGAAAACAAACAAACAGAAAAAACCAAGACAGAAAAAAAGAAGGAAGGAAAGGAAATTAGTAAATTGCCGTCTGGTGGGAGGTGTGGTAGGCAGGTCATGAAGAGATAGATAGAAGGCCTGTTTGAGAGAGCTGTTGCCCTGCTTGTCTCCCCACAAGAACTATCTAGTGAGAACTATTAGCAGAGCTGGTGAGAGCGTGTGCAGACAGCGTGAAGGCAGCAGGAAAGAGTGTCTCCCTTAGACCGCACTGTGTGTCAACCAGCAGGGCCACTGTGAGTGGGG